ATGGGTCATATTCGACCTGGGGGGAGGTGGGTAGCGGAGTCCCCCAGGGCTCGGTCCTGGGGCCTGCGCTGTTCAATTTCTTCATCAGCGATCTGGATGATGGGGTGGAAAGTAACCTGTTTAAATTCGCTGATGACACCAAAATTTGGGGGGAGGTGAGCACGCTAGCAGGGAGTGAGAGATTGCAGAGGGATCTGGATAGGTTACAGGGGTGGGCTAACAGGAACAGGATGCGTTTCAATACGGACAAGTGCAGGGTGCTGCACTTGGGCAGTAGGAACCAGCAGCACACTTACACAATGGGGAACTCCCTACTCGAGAGCACGGAGGCAGAAAGAGATCTTGGAGTCATTATTGACTCCAAGATGAACATGGGCCGACAATGCGAGGTCATGGTTGGCAGGGCTAACCGGACCTTGTCGTGCATCCACAGGTGCATCTCGAGTAGAGCCAAGGAGGTGATCCTCCCCCTCTACGCGACGCTGGTCAGGCCACAGCTGGAGTATTGTGTCCAGTTCTGTGCGCCCCATTTCAAGAGGGATGTGGACAACATGGAGAGGGTCCAGAGGAGGGCCACCCGCATGATCCGGGGACAACAGGGCAGACCCTACAGTGAGAGACTGCAGGACCTGAACCTATTCAGCCTCCATAAGAGAAGGCTGAGGGGGGACCTGGTGACAGTCTATAGACTCACTAGGGGGGACCAGAAGGGTTTGGGGGAGACGCTGTTTCCCCTAGCACCCGCTGGCATAACAAGAAGCAACGGGCACAAGTTGATGGAGAGGAGGTATAGATTGGACATCCGCAAGAACTACTTCACAGTTAGGGTGGCTAGGAGCTGGAACCAACTTCCAAGGGAAGTGGTGCTGGCCCCTACCCTGGGGGTCTTTAAGAAGAGGCTGGATGCCTACCTAGCTGGACTCATTTGAGTCCCATTTCTCTTTCTGGGGTTTTTTGTTGTTCTCCCGCCCTGGCGGGGGGTCGGGCTAGAAGATCTACTAGGTCCCTTCCGACCCTTAATCTATGAATCTATGAATCTCTTCATACTGTTTTTCACTCTAGTGATGCACCTTTGTCATGGTGTTTTTGCCTTCCCAAGCCAAAAACCATAGAGTTCCTATTTTGTCTTGGATCTCTCTCTATTCTCACTTTTTACTCAGAACATCTTTAGTTTTTTGTGGTTCTTAAATGTTCAATTATCCAACTAATGCAAATTTCATCCTTGTATAATGTCTCACTGGAGGGTTGGAAGTTAAGATTCACAGTTGGAGTGTTGCTGAAATCAGATTTTGTTATATTGCCATGATTAGAGACATGAACATCTTTGTATCAGTTGGTTTTAAATGTGTGCACTGCATGAAATTCATTATCATCAATCTGATGACGCCAATTCACTAAAACATACTAGGAAATCATTGACCAATGAAGCATGTGCCTTTGCATAAATGTACAGGGCTTAATCCTGTGTAGGCAAACCCTAGAAGATTGCTGCACAATGTAGGACAATGGCAGATGAACAGCTTTAGTAAAATATATGCAGAAGCTCTTCACCGGAATGCACAGCCACATTCATCACAATCATCCTACATGTTCTTGCATTTTACTTTCCACAAAGGAATGCCTTCTCTGAATTGAACCATAATGCCAGATCCTTTTCTTTTCATAGATGTCTCCTTGAGACTCACCTCTTCAGAAATGGAGCTCACTAGCCAAGAAAGAAATGGGTCTGATTTTGATTGGGGTTCTGGAAATCACCACAGTAATATCCACCATCACCATCACATTTGGAGTACTAGATGGCTGCACAGTTCTAATGGACTCTACAGCACTGATGTACTTTTGCTTAATACTAATCTCAAAATATACACCTTTGGCAATATATAGATGAACATACAGCAAGCCATTTTCTCAATGTACATATTATTAATCGTCTGCCCTACTGTGCTAGAAAAGTTTGCAAGTATTAAGAACTATTTGCAAAAGGAGCACTTTCAGATATTAGAACTGTAGTGTGTTAACATTTTTGTACCACATGGTCAGATGCTACAAGTAATTCTAGTGATTCAATAAGATGTATTTGAGGTGTAACTTATTATTCAATGAATGAACAGATGATGGAATTTGATTTTTAGGTGGTACAAGCTACATACCTGTTTTAATTATAGAGGCAAGGTCAATTAGAATAACTTTTTATAAGTCAAAAGTAATTTTTATTCTTCCTTCAACTTTTCATTAAAATGAAATAGGTCCACCTACCTGTGAAAATTCATGCTTGCAACACACTCTTACAGCAGGCTATCTTTCTTAATATAGACATTTTCAACAGAATGGTTTTAACAGTATGGACACTTAATAAATCATTTCCTAGGTGTCTACTTGAAATTAAGATGTTATATTTTATGACAATTCTCATTCATCTCTTCTCTTTATTAAATTTGAATTATGCTTCCTGAATTATTTATCCCAGAGTACATTGATTTTATTTATTTCTTAAGAATGGCAAATAATCAAGCAATACCATGCAATTTAGATTTAAATTGCATTGCTACCATATAATCCCTCTAATTTGTGTCTGTCATCTTCAGTTTTAAACCAATATTTGCTGCTTGAGTTATTGACAGATATCCTATCTGAAAAATAACGTCCCATCAAATTTCTGTCAAACTGCATTATACTATTTATGCATTATTCTGCCCTTTATGTCCACCTCTGACAAAATGCTGTCTTCCAGTTTAAATTACTTTTACACGTGCTTTGCATAGATGTATAAACAGGAGGCTCTTAAAATATGACACATGAATTTATTGAAAATACTTCAAATGCATCTATCAAAATAGTGATTAGATGTCAAATGATGCTAATTAAAGATAACAAATGATGCTAATTACAGATAGCAATAAGTTTATCTAATTATTTTCCTGTCTTAAGACTGAACAATATCTGAGCATCTTTGCAGCAATATCTGAGAAGAAAATATAAGAATCTAAGTAGTGTATTTAACTCCTTAGCACTTCTCCCTTTCTGGAACAGGAGCTCTGCATGGCTTTGATTCATTCAGTTTCAAGAGTATTTTTTTCAGGGTGTTTTTTGTAGGAGGATGCCTGGGAGAGTTAGTTGGTAGGAATTTAAGGTGGAGGGGATACTACATTTATTTTGTTCTTATGGGTGTAAAGGCCTTTCCAGGAAGGTTTTACTGTATTCACTAAAGAGGCTCAGACCCTACATTGACAACTGGACTATCTTCTTGGCCTGAGGTTCAGTGACTGCTAATTTATCAAAACTTTTGAGAACCCAGGGAAAAAATTGCATAAAGAGAGAAATAACTAATGCTCCAGCATTATTCCACAGCAAAATCTCTCTCTATTGAGACTTTTTTGAGCCCAGGTTCCAAAAATCTCTCTTTGGGATCAGGCGGCTTCAACATTCTTGATGATCTATCAGGTTGCTATGTTTAAAAATAGAGAGGCAATATTCAGTGCAGTCTGACTCCAAGTTGCTGAAGTCCTAAAACTTACTATTGTTTGAATTGACTCTGGAATCAACATGAGAAGTCAGCAGTGGATGCAGAGCACCAGGGAGGCATGCTTTAGAAATGTTTATGTGCTTGTAGCAGAAGCTCGAGTATTCAGGGAATAATCTTCATCTTCAGTCCGAGACACAGCAGGCATTAACAGTATGTTCTGATTATGAACACGTGGTCCAATAGAGATGCATTTGATAGGGAAGATCATAGTGTTGGACAAAACTAGACCCAGAAGGCAGACTTGTTGCAATGTGTGTGTCAGACAAAAGGAAATAAGAACTCAGGATCAAAGCATTCTTCTTCCAGAAATATAGCATGGAAGGACCAAGAAACTGGGTTGAAGTTCGGTTCCTCCAATCAAATAAGAAAATTGGGAAAGCAGTGGCCACACTGAGGCTGGAGCAATAGTCTCTGAGCCCTATCAGGACATTCCTTCTCCCTTATTACTCCTGAAAGCAACATGTAACTTGAATAGTCAAACTGCCTCATGAATCAAGCATATGAAAACTTTACCGTGTACAATAGCATCACGAGCACCTCTTTACAACTAAACCACAAACAACTTCCCTAATGAATTATAGTATATTAATAAAACATTGGTTTATAAACACTTCCCAAGTTTCTCACTGCAAAAGGCTCAGACTCTTGTGCATTACATAAATACATGTTCTATAGTGTACCCTGCTCTATATATGTATACAATATATGTTCTATAGTGTATGTACAAACTGGACACATGCATAGCACAATAACATTGCAATATGTTGTCTGTTGTTTACACCATCGTAAATTCTGGTTAACTACATATTGAGTAGGTGACTGAGCCACACCAGAGTATAGCATCTTCGAGCCCCCCACCTACTTTGTAAATGAATTACTCTCATTGTAACTGCACCAGAAACAATGAAGGGGAGGCAGCTGTCAAAAGGCTGCTATTAAAAGACTTGAAAATGAGGGTGAGAGCTACTTAATTCCATAGCAGCTATTTCCTCTATTTTTAAGGCTTCTAACAAAGTCGACCAACCTGACTATTAGAAGACTTTCAATTGAGAAGAGTTTATCACGTTCAGGACCACTAATACCAAAGTACAGACTGTACTGTATACTTGAGGAGCATCAACAGTTTGTATTGAGGTTTCATAAGTGCACCTTCTGGGTAAGTGAACAGCCTTTTGTCAGTCCCAGTTCTGTACTTAAACAGAACACACCATAAATTATCTATATATATCTATAGATATAGATATATACTTTATATTTGTATTTATAATACACTTCTGCAGCAAGAAACATGGGGCGTTTTTCATTAAAGCACCAAGGTAAGTCACTGGTCTATTTATACCATGCTTCCCATTCTGTATACCCTAGTCAGTTATTTTCCTTGCACTAGCAAAGCAAGTGGTACATGAAAATGGGCCTCATTATGTACCTGTATAAAATCTATTTTACAAGTCTGTTGGGCATCGCTAAATGCACCTACCAATGAAACCTGAAGATGGTGGGTTGGGCTGTATCTTCTCTTTAGTGTTCTCCTGAATGATATCCCAGAGCTGCCATATGAACTTAGGATGGAGAATGTAAAATGGCTGGTTTGGATTCTTCCTGCGATGCTGTACATATGGAGTGAAGAGGTTGTAGTCTGGCTTCTTGTACCACTGAGGGGAAAAACAGAAATGAATCAACACACACTAAACAGCAACCAAAAGGTAGCACCAGCAATTCTGTGTTGAGTCTGAAGTACAATGCATAGGCAGCAAGTCTCTCTGGGCTGCTGGACACAGTCTTAAGTGAGCCAGTCCCTAACTTGACTGTTTTGCTTCTACCCACGTGAAATTCACTCCAGTACAAAGAAGCAACATAACGTCCTACTCACAGATCCGCATTAAATGTTAGATAGGGCATGAAAGCCTTACTGCTAGACATGAACACACAAATTCACTCCATCAACCTTGACTCTACATCACTTCTCCATTCCCACTGCCTGCAGTGTAGAAGTAAACTCAGATAACTTGAACAAGAGGCAGACAGCACCCTACTTTAGCTGCCGCTAAGAGAATTCACCTGATGAAACAGGCAGGTTCATCCACAGCTGTAGTCTATTCGGCTCTGTTGTCTCCCTAGGATCCCACTGCCAGTAGCGGCCATAAGAGAGTCAATTGAGCTTTCCCTGTTCTGCAACATCATCCTCAGAGACCCGTAGAATAATTGCAGGGGATTTTTTTGTTTTGTTTTGCTATAATCACACATGACTTTGGGGAGAAAGGGGCCCAGCAAATAAATCCAAAAGGCCAGAAACCCTGCAGGTGACATACTGGGTTGTGCATTTGAGAGAATAGATAGATTGGGAAAGGATCTGAGAAAGTTATTTACTTTTCAGGTGTTTGGCTTTTTCGAGACTGGCACTAGAGGAAGATGGGAAATAGGGATGTCATTTCTCCACTTTTCCTCAGACCCTCCCCCTTCTCCATACCTGCCACATACCAATAATCTTGCTTTTATATGAAAAAATAACCAATAATCTAAGCAACAGTATGTTTTTGCCCTAACTCCCTGACAATCCATCAACCTCAAAATCATCTACTCAAACAGAAATGAGGTCTAATCAAAATATTTTTGCCTAACAAACACGTTTCCATGTAGATGTGGCGTGTCGTATCTAAAAGTTTTTAGATCTTGAGATTAATTGAAAGGAGTGGTAGTGAGGTCGCAGGGAGGGCTCTGGGATTAAACTACACCTGATCTTAGATGGCCAAGAAGCAATTAACTGCAGGTGACTGTGTGCTGCTTTCACACTGGTTTGAAGGAAAATGACTAAAACAGAGGGCTTACCACATTCAGATTTGCAGAGTAGGGAGCTGGATCCCAGGCCACTAAAATGACATCTTTATACAAGGAGCTGTCGATGAAGTGATGATTTGGATTGGTAAGAATCTGTGAACACACACACAAAATTGCACACCATGAAATCTCCCACAAACAATGAGAAACATCATCAAAAGAAACAGTACTAGCAAATGGGAATCTGTATTAAAGTAAAGCACAGCAACAATGTGTGTGTATCAAGCTTTGCAGAAAATTACAGGTCACTAGCAAACGAGATAATACACCCATGCTTTTTTTTAGATAGTCACAAAAGGAAAAACAGATGTTAGATAGATGTTAACCACTATATTGATGAGATAAATACAAGTGATTTGGGATAGCTTTAAACAGGCAATACAATTTAATCCTTAAGAAAGAACAAGAAAAACAACCTAGTTTGCCAAGGGCTTCTCATCTCCATATACCTCTTTGGAGGCACCTAATTATCTCGTGGGTTTGTGGGTAACCACAACATTGTCTGGTTGTAAACTGCACCAGAAAACAGAACTTAACCCAAATAGCCTGGCTCTAAAAAGGTTCTTCTAGTCATGCATATTAACTGAATCTCCAGTTACTTTAACCAAATTCATATGCTAAGAAAATACAAGTGACAAATAGGAACATTTGAAGCACTGTTTCACCAGACTGCAACTCTCTATCACCAATACAGAGTATGTTATGAGCCTCCCAGAAGATGTGTGTGGATATAGATGTCTACTTTGGAAATTTAAAATAAAAAGTAACATCATCCCAGATCCTTTCCATTCTTTGAAAAAATAACAATTTTATTGGAGGATTGTGACCATCCAATTTTTTTTTTTGAGGATGGTTTGGTTTTATTAAAAACAGCCCTCACTTAAAATGGCTCCAAAAAGCTAAATTAGATTAAAATAGAGCGGTCCACCTCCTGGGTGTTGGTGGGGGAAGGTGGATGTGCAGCCCAGTTCTCCAATCTCTTGGCACATTTCCTAACTCTTCCTCTGTACATTTTCCTTTCCACTTTTTTTGACACATTCTCTCCCTAAATTGCTGTTGCCTGGCCTCTATCCAGATCTCTATGATCCCTGGTTCAACCAGCCTCAGAAAGAGTTGGTAAGAATGATTTCAACATTGGTTTAAGCAGCATGAATTTGGCTCCAGCTGTTATGTTAATCTGCATTCCAGACAAATTAATTCATACTAATCTTCATTCCCCTTTAGGTTCTAATGAGCCATATTTGATGATGCATATTTTTTGAGAAATAATTTTGTTGCCATAGTAACATTTTTCCTACTGTAAACTTTAATATTAATAACTTTTCATCAGCTTTCAACCATACTCTAACTGTCCCCAGCCATCACGATCTTTAACCTCCTTTTATGGGTAGTTTTCTTTTAAAAATGTAAACTTCTTCATCAAAGTGCAAGATCAACAGAACAAACGTTTAAAAAGTTTATGCACAACACCTCACATTGCAGCTGCCACTAGAAAAGGGGAATTTGCCTTACCTTAAATGGGGTTTTTTGAAATGAGTTGTCCAAACAGATTCTATAATTAGTGAGCACATACTGCATGTATGTAACATGTTTTTTGAATTACAGTGTCTAGTGCAGAGAGGATTTTGCCCCTTACCTGTTCCCAGCTACTTAAGCTGTAAACATAAGAAGAGGGAGGTCATAAATGCCACTCAGAGCCTTGTTGAAGGGACTAAGACACAGAGAAATCCTTTTAGCAGGAATGAGGAATGAAGAATGAATCACATAATCTGTATAGGGAACACATCCTGAAGAACTAGTTACCATACATTAACTAACTCTTCTGTCTTCTGTGATTCCACTTCAGTGTTTGAAATGGAAAACACTCAACAAGAGGCAGGAAAGTAGTCTCACTTAATGAATGACTACTGGACAGTTCTATCAATGGTAGCATCTAACCTGGAAGCCCACAAGGACTACTGATAAGCAAATGTGTCAGCAGAGCCCTCGAAAGATTTGAAAGGCCAGGAGACCTGTAGCTAAGCGATATATTGCGTTGTGTGACTGACAGTATATACACCCTTGAGGTGTGGAAACTACCTGAGCCATGATGCGAGGATCTTTGTTCAATCCATTGCTATGGCACATTAAGTTGAGTACCTCTAATATGAGGTACTACATAAATGTGCAGTAGCCAGTGCTAGTGAGCAGTAGCAACAGGACATGGTCTTTTTGTAACACTTAATGCACAGTAGACTACTACACTAGACTAATTCTACTACACATTAGCACATGAGCAAGGTTTTCCCTATGACAACTATGCATTAAGCATCTTGTGTAGACATGCCTACTGAGTAGAAACAGATTGACCCTCAATTGCCTGCAAATGCCATGAAGCATTTGGGAAACTTTTTGAATGTCCTTGTTTTGTCCAAAAAGAAACGCTTGATCTCTCACCACATCCAACGTGTGAAGTTCCTATTTATCTAGGAGAGAGTGAGGCTTCAGGAAGAGAATAATGTGTATGGATTAGTTGAAGCAAAAGTCCAAGACAATTTTAGCAAAAAATAAACAAACCCTACAGTGGGTCCTTTATTTGTTCTTGACCTTCTCAAAGAAGGATCTGTTTAACTTCTTCTGCCTGAGGTAAAGACCACTAAAACTTCCATGTGCATGAATAGATGGTGAAGGGACCAGGCTGCCAAGGAATCAAAGCTGTGACCTGTTAAATCAGTAAAGACCAAATTGAGATTCCAGGAAGGAAAGGACTCTATGATAGATAGAAAAGATGCAAGGAACATCCTTAAGGCACTATGACAAAACTGTGATTAAGAATACACTAAGTTTCTGAAAATATGGGCAATCTGCAGAAATAGCCACCATATATGCCCTAATAAAGATATACAAAATATTGTCTTCTTTCAGGGACAGCAGATAGTGCAAGATTGCTGGAATTAAAGTCCATAATAGCAGGAGGTGCCTTTCACTCACCTGATTAGAGAGATGCTTCCATTTCACTGCACTGGGGAGCCTCGTAGACGGCATTCATTTGTGGCCCAGTGCTTGGCTCTCAGATGAACAGGGCAGCCTCTGGCTCTAGTACTCAAAGAAGTGCCAAAGGGACCAATGGTTTGAGTGAGAAACTCTTCAGCTCGGAGTACCAAACTGTCTGGCCCATGCTAAATGGCTAATAGAATGACATGGCTCAAGCCCCACTTAAACCAATAATATATTTTGCAAATGGGAATTCCTGTACATCAACCTTTTTGTGATGTACCAAGCTTTCTTTTCCAGAGCAAACATGAGCCCAGCCTCACTAAAAGCTATATTCCTTTTCCTGTGGGTTCTGTGGCCTCTGGCACATCTATTCTTACCCTCCAAGTACAATATTATGTGAAATAAGGCATAAAAAAGTAAAATAAACTAGGTTAAATAAAAAACAAAACAAGGAAAGATACAAGTCAAATGGATGGGTAAAGCTATATTGTCTTGCATCCAAGGCATGAAGAAGAAATGGCAGGCCTTAAGGGTACTAGAGCAGGCAATGCTATTAAAAATACTGTTCTCACACATATGGGTTGCATGTACCCCAAGAGTCATCTCTGAAAGAACAAATAATTTAATAAAGAAGTAATATGAAATGGCTGTGCAAATTCTCCTTTAACTGTTTTGAAAGTGCTATAGTAAGAATTTGCATAGTATATTTCATGTTGAAAATGCTCTATGCATTAGATAATTAACTTTTAACACCCCTATAGAGCTAGGTGGCTATTACTAGCTGTAGAAAGCAGATGGAGAAAACTGAAAGGAGAAAGATACATGGTTCATACAGGGCAAGAGTTTTGAGCAGTGATTCTCAGCTTGGGTGCTGCAGCATTCATGGGCAGGGGTGGGGAAGAGAGGGGAGAGGAGGTTGTGAGATCCTTTAAGCGGAATGCAGGATGCCACACAATGTTAGCATTGTTAAGAGTGCAAACATGATTCACAAGACAAATCCAGACATTTCAAATAGGAATCCATGTAGTGGAAAACATTCTGATCTATTGTGGCCTTTCCAAGTTCTTTGCATTGGAGAACTGCTTTGTTTTTTTTTCTAATCAAGAAATGAGTGGAAGCTAAGAGTTGGCATTTTCCAAAGTGTGCCTCGAGTCTAACAAGGTTGAGAACCAATGGCTTAGTGGACCAGTTTTAGGAGGCACTTTTCAAAAATTGAAAAAAACAACAAAACTTCAACCACAAGAGGTCACTACAACTCAACAAACATCACTCAGAAGCATTCACCTGCAGAAGATACCCCTTATAATCGAGGGAGTTCAGCTCAGGTGCAGCATCTTCTTTTCCCATGACTCTTGGGTTCTTCGTACTTTTCAGTCAGACTTATAAAGTTTAGCCCCAAGCCAGCCCAGCCCCTCTCCTCACTCTTCCTCCAAAAAAGAGGTGGTCATCAGGAAAGTAAGAGCAGAGAAGGGAGATTTGGGGCCTATGAAACTATGGTAAAGATGGAGAACGTGTGCCACAACTGGCACAGGCAGCCTCTGTGTGTACATAGCAGATCAGGTAAAGGATGGGCAGGACAGTGGCAGATATAGGGCAGGGAACAAAAAGCAGAGCAGCAGATTAAGGAGAGAGCCCAGGGCAGGGAGCAGAAAGCAAAGCAGCATACTCATGAGAAGAGGATTAGTGGCACACAGGAATGAGCATGGCTAATTTGTGGTGCACCTACCACAAAGGTTGACCCTCACTGACCCTTTGAGATGGATAATGGGGACTAAGGATTGCAATGCCCCCTGCACTCATGACCTTAATCTTCAGTAGATTCCCTGAGAACTACAGCCTTCATCAAAACTAGAAGTGCACTGATACATTGGTTCGATATTGGATCAGCATCGATACAAAGAAAATTTTCTGTATTGGAAATCGGCCTGATGCAGCTGATAACTGTCCGATAAATGCCTGCGTGCAACCTCAGTGCAGCAAGTAGGCAGTGAGAAGCAGAGCCAGCAGCATGGAGAAGCTGGTAAGTCTGGTGTGGTAAAAGGGGAAGGAATGAGAGAGGCAGATCAAGGCCCGCATGGTGAGGGAGGGAGTGGGACTGGGGCTGCACAGCCTGGGCCAGGGCAGGCACATGACACAGGAAAAGCTCGTTGGCAGGTTGTGGGAAGGGGGTGGGGAGTGGCTCCTGCCACTGCACACGGTTCATCCGGTGCTTGTCTGGAGGCTCCTGCTGCCGCTCCCACCCCCTCATCCAGGAGGACATGGGGTGGGGGGCATGTGCCTCTGGATCTGTGCAGGGCAGGGCGGGCTGGGCCAGGCTATTCCTAGCTGGGCAGATCCATGGGCATACACTCCCCCCAACCCCCATGCCCTCCCAGATGAGTGGCAGGAGCAGTGGCACAAGCCACCAGACAAGCACTGAATGAGCTGCACGCAGTGGTGGGAGTTGCCCCACTCCTCCCTTCCCATGCCCCCACAAGTAGCCATGCCTCCATCCTGCACCTGCCCCGGCCCCAGCCCGCAGCTGCAGCCCACCCCACATCACACAGATCCCTGCAAGAGGCACATTCCCACCCCCCTGCCCCTTACATCCCTTTTCACCACACCAGACTTACCAGCTGGATGCAGCTCTTCAAGCTGAAGAGCTGCATATCAGAAATCAGATTCTGATTGGTATTGGCCAATATGCCTCCTTAAAAATCAGCTATCAGTATTGGCCCCAAAAACCTCTATTGGTGCACCCCTAATCAAAACTTTGCAAGATAATTCCCTGGCACAACCATAAAGGAACTTCCAATACCAGATCCAGGATTCATGCAGAAAGCTACGGCACTTTCCTTGTGCAAGAGCCGTTACACCTACACGTTTCATTTACTCTAAATTATGATTATGCACTACAATGGTTCTACCATGCACTGCTAGTTACCAAGTCACCACGGGCTCTCCAGATTACCCAACCATCTTAGACTAAAAAGGTTTGATTTTCTTGGGAGATGAACCTTATACTGTACAGAGAAAAAAAAATTCACACATATAGATCTGCAAAAGAACCTTACCTGAGAGTTAATGATGCGCATGGTTGTTTTATTCCCAACATCTTTTTCATAACCATGTGTAGGAGCCGAATTAAATCTCAGAACTGCATCATGCGAATCTAAGGGCATAAGGAGGCTACATTTATTTATTTTTATTTTTACTAAAAGAAAAAAAAACAAATCTCAAGAACAGCAGAGGGTTGTAAATTTTATTGATCTTGGTATTGAAAAGGCAACTCTTTTGGATGACAAGAAGCTCTCTTTTCTGTTCTCCTTTAAAGAAAAAAGAGACTTTCTTATTCAGCCCTGGGCACTGTGCAAGCGTCTCACGTGATTTCGCCCTAGGGCTCCTACCCCTTTTCTGCCTAGGCTTTAGTTGCTTGATTTATTTATTTTTAATGAAGTTTCGTATGGCACAAAGGGCTTATCTGCCCTCAGTCAGAAGCATCCTGCCCAGAACATTTCCAAGCATGATGCCCCCACCCAATTATGCCAGAAACAGAGGCACACTCATGAGCCAGCTCCAAGATCATCCCTAGCGAATACTCTCAAGCATGCCAGAGAATGAGGTATTGAAAACTGCTGTTGAAGAACACCCCAATGTAGCCTTACCAGGGTGGTTCCGAGTAGCACTCCCTGGAGTGGCCTGTAGGTGGTGGTGATGTGCCCAGAGCAGTACATCCAGGCCTGGGTGCAGAGAAGAGTCCTTCCACCAGCAGATTAGAACGTGCTTATAGGAGTGAGTGGATGGAGTGCATTCATGGCTGTTCTCACTAAAGCAGGCCACCACTACCACGTAGATGTGCCCGAAGTCCACAGTGGCTGCAGTTGCTGACCAGTGCTTAAAATCAGGCCTCTTCTATTGAGATGCCTAAATCTGGATTTAGGACCATAACTTCTAGGTGCCAACATAAATGGGAAGAAAATTCTCCATGTGACTTCAAGGAAAAATCTCAGTGTGGCCAGAACAGTTCTTCCCCCTCCCCCTCATACGCACACCTTATTTAAATTACAAAGGTGTGATTAAAGCATTTGGAATTGCCAGGTATATTTTATTTTAAAAATAATGATGATAGGAGCCCAAAAAGCAAAGAGAAAATTAGTATTTGTGACAGCATTTCTAATAGGAATGCAGGAGAGGGAGCTAAAGGGCTAATAATAAAAAAAAGGTCCTGGAATCCTACTTTAAAAAAAAAACAAACCATTTTTTCATGTCAGAAGATAATTAGTGACAATCCACAGTACATGCAATATCACATAACAAAACTATGAGATGGAGGACATCTATGCCACCTCAGTATCACCGAGAAGTGTGCCCGCTATACTTGCTACCTGCTTTATATCCACTGATCTTGGAAAAAAGTCAATATTACAGCAACACTAAGTTTGCACCAGTGCACACACCCAAGACAAGAAGCCTGTAACGTATGCTCAGCATCACTCTACAGTGGCTATATTGCCTCTTCTGGGATGTGGTAAATGAAGGTTGGGAGTGAAGTCTAATTCTCAACAGCACTCCTGAGAGTGGAACCGGCACATAGGCAGCAGCAATATGCCTTGAGTGTACACCTAGGCCTGCATGCACTGGTAGACCTTGGAGCCTCTTGTGGTAGATTTCGGAGCCTCTTGGAGTTGATCTAAGGCTGGGGTGGGGGGCTGAGTGCCCACATGCATGCACACATACCCCCCACCCAGCAGGTCAGTCCATGGGGCAGGGAAGGGATGGGGGCTAGATCAAGGCACCCATGGTGAGGTATAGTGCCACAGAGGCAGGAGCAGGGGTGAGTTGAGTGGGGCCCTGGCCACGTGGGGGGGGGCGGGGAGGAGGGGCCATGGCAGATCTAGGTTTGCTTTTAAATGCCAAAGGTGATCTCCTGCTTAAAAAGGTTGGAGACCTTTGGAGTGCCACCCCAAAACACAAAACCTACACTTAAATTAACCGGCACAAGAAGATTGCGACTCATTTCTAGTGACAGCATACAGAAGAAGGGAGCAATTTCACCTCAGTCAGTGGGACTTCTTATGAAATTGGGGAGTTACCTTGCTTTGGTTTTAGCTGCCAGCCAGCAGGGCACTTGTGCTGTGCTGGAAGCCTATTACAGTAGTTTGATAATGATAGCAGTTCTAATATATCCCAGAGATTTAAAGGGAAACCCATCTGTGTCAGAAAGATGAAAGGAAGATGAAGCAGGTGAAATCCCGGATGATGAAAGAATTAACTAGTGCACATCAAAAGATTTTTATAGGAGGTTCTAGTGCTCAAAAAGCCAATGGGGAAAATTTGAGGAATAAAATTCTTCCTTCTCTGGACCCTCCTAAAACACTGTGATTGTCTCACATCAGTGAAGCAACACCGAACAAAGCTAGCTTCATTCATTTGTGAAAAGAAAATTGAGCTGAATTAGTTTTCTACTTCACAATCCTTTCCTGACACTTTTACAAGAACATAAAAATGCCATTTACTAGATCCATCAAGCCCAGTATCCCATCTCACACAGCAGAAGAAGGTTTCAATGCATGCTGAAGGAGAGGATGAATGTGGCATGTGCCCTGATCCTCTTCTACTGCATCTTCCAGCAGCCAGAGGTTTAATAATATCCAATCTGGAGGCTGCATCCCTATCTCCCATATTGAATACCTACTGACAGACCTTTCCTCCAAAAACTGGATCAATTGGATATTGACCTATCAGCATCCAGAATACCTTGTGGCAATGAGTTCCACAAGTTAATTACACAGGGTGTGTTTGTATGTGTGTTGAGAAGGAGGGGACATGACTTTCTTTAGTTAGTTTTAAACTTACTAATAGTTTCAGGTTATATCCCTAATTCTAGTAATTGGAAGAAATTGAATTTAATAAATCTTTATTTACTTCCTCTGCATCATTGAATATTCTGTAAACTTGTCTTATGTAGCCCCTCAAATGTCCCTTTTCTAATCTAAAAGTCTAAGCCTACTTTAGTCTCTTCTCGTATGGTAGCTTTTCTATATTTCTGATCACCCTTCTTGCCCTTTGCACTTTTTCTAGTTCTACATCCTTTTCAAAGTGGGGGATCAAAACTGCACAGTCATCAAGATATGGAAGTGCTATAGATTTATAAAAGCATATAATGATACTTGCTTTGTTTACAATTCCCTTTTCAATGATCCCTAACCTCTTATTAGTCTTTCTGACTGCTACTGAACTCAGAGCTGATGTTTTCAGTAAACTGTCCACATAACTCCAAGATTTCTTTCCTATGTGGGAACATTAATGCAGAGCCCATCATCATGTATGTAGTTTATTTTTTTTTCTTCCCCCAGGTGCATCACTTTGTACTTAACACTGAATTTCATTTGCTATCTTGTTGCCCATTTGCATTATGTTCTGAGATCCTTCTGCAGTTTGTCTTGGTCTTCACCATTCTGAATAGCTGTGTGTTATTTGCAAATCTGGACACCTCACTATCCACCTCCCTTTCCACATCACTTATGAATATATTAAACAGCACCAGTCCCAACACAAATTCTTGGGGGACCTTCCTGTTTACTTCTTTCTATTCTGAAAACTGTTTATAACCACCGATTTCTATCTTGAGACCAATTTCTGATCCACTGATTTCCGATTTCCCTTTAATTCCATGACAGCCCAATTTCATTAGAGACACTGATGCAGGACTTTTGACAAAGGCTGTTTGGAAGTCCAGATGTACCACATCAACTGGATCACCCTGATCCATGTTCTCGTTAACAGCTTCAAAGAACTCTAATAGGTGAGGCATGACGTCTCTTTACAAAAGGCATGCTGATTTCTCCCCAGTAAGTCCTGTTCATCCATGTACTGGACAGTCCTTTTTAAAAGCACTGTCTCTACCAATCTGTCAGAATCACTGTCCTGTAGTCCCCTGGGTCCCGTCTGCAAAATAGGTTGTAGTCTATCCATGGAGAGCCCTGCTTAAACCCTAGTGACACACCTGTAAAACAGTGCATGGAAGTATTTGGGCTTGTTTAAAATTAATATCACCTACAGAGGTAAGGTTAAATGATTCCAAGTCAAAAAGCTGCATAAGAATCTATGAACTACATCAAAGTTATTTTATGGCCTAAGAGAGACATAGGATCTCATACAGACCACCTGAATTTTGTTCTAGAATATCTTGCACCATGCTCAAACAGAAACATTCAATTAAGTTTTCTAAAGGAAAAAATAATATAAATAATCTGTGAAGGAAATAAACATGCTTTACACAACAATGTAATGTCTGTTGAAAAAACAAGCCAACACCACCACAAAAAAAAATTCAGACTGGAATTTAGTAATGGTGCCCAGTTAAATTAAGTGGGGACTGCTGGCCTGATTTTCCTGTCAGTTACTCCTGTTTTATACTTGTGTAACTCCATGTACATCTGTAGACTTATGCTGATAAAATGTGGGCGATAGAAGAATCACGCTCATTAGAGCTATTCTGAGAAAAAAAAAAGAAAGATCCTTTGGACAGACAAACACACACAACCAAGAAGCATTTTTACTCACCTATTTCATCTCCTAGAGAAGAGTTCAGTATTGCACCAGCAGACATAACTACAGCACAGCTTCCAAAACCACGTGCATACAGTTTGTCCAGAGGAATTTGAGGAACATGCTTTTCCCATCCAAGAGTTGAAAAAGGGGCTTCCTTGCCATCTATTGTTTTCACGTTCACCCTCTCTTTGACCTCACAGAAGAGCTGGTCTCCCGTCAGTCTGGAGTTTCGCTTCCCTTTGAATCGTACCCCATGCTTGTTGGTATTCAGGTAATCTTTCATGGCTTTCTGCAGCCGAGGGTTTAACATCTTGGAGGAGACATCCCCTTTCCAAAGTTTGTAAAGGAAAGATTTTGACATTGTTGAATACAACCCATCCCAGTCATCAGACTCATCAAACACCTGGCTTTTCCTGTATCTTGGGTTCCGTTTCCTTCTTTTCTGATGGCTCCAGTTATTCTGGAAAACATTTTCCTTTTGAGTGTCCTCATTTGTGGAGATGAATTTCATGATCTGCTGGATGTTGTTGTGTGAACGAGGCTGACCAGCAGCAAATAAATAATCACCACCCCCATGATAGAAAGTACTTTTTGATTTTCTTCTCATCTGAGAAGGAAAAAACTCATTTTCATTTTTAAAATCATCCTCTAGTTCAGCCCACTTTTTAATGTTCCCAGTCCCCGATTTTAATCTAAATGGTTCTAAAAGATCTTCATTAAGAAGTACCTCATTTCCATCTACAGTTTCAGAGAATGATGGATCGTGTATTGCTCCCATAATAACTCTCTGTTTGCCCTGAATGGGCAAGAGTCTCTTTGTCTCAATATAAGAGAAGGAACTTGGAACTGGTTCTGCAGTGTTACCATCAGTAAAATAGATGAAGATCACCAAGAAAAGGAGGCCCCATGCAAATATCCCAAACAGCATTAGTTGTTTCCATTGCTTTAAGTTAGGTTTCATGGCAATGCCTTTACCAACTCCTCTGTGCTTTGAAATATTGGTGAAGAGAAATAAAACCTGGAAAGAATATCAAATATTAATCAAGAATGGTTGTAGAACTCAATAAAAAGTAGAAGTACATTAACATGATCTGGGAGGAGCTGGCTAAGTGCCTATACAGTAGCATGGGAGACTGAGGGGCAGAAGCAAACACGGGAGCTTGAGGATACCAATGTGGTGATGCACTAACTCTAAACACATAGCGACAGCTGCTTAGCATGGAAGTTCATGGCCAGTTCATACAGCAACACTGGATTCCAACCTTGAGGAACAGTCATTTTCCTGTTTGCTTCTCCTATAAATTGTAGCCCACCTTAATTTAAAGAGGTTATTATTCATTATGCAATAAATTCAGCTGTTCCCTCTGCAGCCATGAATGGTCACAGTGCAGTTGAACTAACCTGAATCCACTTTACAAAGTGGGGATGCAAAGAGCACACACATTATGCATGATCTGCCTAAGCTACTGGTGTAGGCTGGGAGTGTGGTGCTGGGAAGGTGCAGGAGGCAGAAAGAGCAAAGAGGCATGGAAACACATGGGAGGTGCCGTTGTTCAAACTTTCACTAACATGGGACACCTCCATTTTTGGAGAAACTGATTCTGTTATGCAGGTGGATTCATGTATCAGCTTCAAGCTGCCCCACAAAATATTCAGCAGCATATTTTACTCAGGTCGGCATGTGAATAGCTGCGTGACTTCAGCATGCAGTTTTGAATACATATAAAAGTAGCCTCTGAACCCAATTCTTTTCTCACCCTTGTATAAATCAGAAGTAACTTAGCTCAAGTCAACAGCACAGCACTGGGGTAAGACAAATGTTAAGTGACAGGAGAATCTGACCTATTCCTACAGGAACAGAATTGTGCTGTATACAGCAATATGATTTCTGCATGTCTGATCAACAAATAACATGGAATATATTTTGTCAAATGACTACCTCTGCTCAGTCAGCTCTTGCTTATGCCACAACCAAACAGTCTGATTATAAACTGTGATAGTTCTATGCTGATGTAACGCCACTGAAAATCTCTCTCAGCTGGTGTGTAAACTGATGCATCACCATTGGGTACATCATCAGCTGAAAATGGATTTAAAAAACTGATGTCATTTGGCTGAGAATAGAGCCTTAATGCTTAAAACCCAATAATCCTCCTATCCTCTCCAGTACATCCTCTGGCACTATAGATGAAGAAATATTTTGGATGTTTGTTTTCCAAATCGGGAGAAATTAAAGAACTGCTGGAACAGGTCACCACTGTAAGCATCCTGCTCTGATGCAGTAGGGTAAGTTTGTTTAGATTTGGCCTAAATTTGTAATTTTTTGCTATACTAATACCCTGGGATTCAGGATTATTAATTATTATTATTAAAATTCTGTATATAAAGTATATATCACCCAAGTAACAGGGCGGTGTTTCAGTGAAAACACAATGGAGCACAACAGGACTGAGGGCCCATTAGGTACATGGAGTTACTCTACACCATTCAGCTGGCCATCTCCAGAACAGTACATATCATACAAAGGAGGGACAGGGGAAGGAAGCAGCAGGCCTTGCTTAGTCTTTCCTTTCAACATGCAATTTAGTCATTGAGAAACCATTTAGGAGCCTTGTCAGACCTTATGCAGTAAGCTGAACAAATGTTAATCAGCTTAGTGTTGTTCGGGTTAGTGGAGCAGTCACACGCAAGGCAAAAAAACCTGTCTCTGACTGTCCCCGACCTGCACAGCTGTGACTTGCCACTACAGGCTTTGTGAGCAGCAGCAAGACTAGGAGCTAGCTAGAGGAAGAAAGGAATCACTGTTCCTGCTGCTCCCGCGTGGAGCCAGGTTTAGAAGCTTTGGGGACTGGGGGCTTGTCTCTACTAGAAGCGTGCTACCAGAAGTTCTGCCCACAGAGACCCACAGAGCAGGTCCCCCAGCTGGGCGACTGCTAGCATTCCCACTACAGCATTTGTGCAGGCAGAGTGCACAGTACACTTTGAGAGGCTGTGGCAAAAAGTGTGGGTGCACCTATGCAGTTTCTGGGGGCTTCCCTGTGCCAGCAAGGAGGCCACCTTGCTCCTGCTCCTTGGTTCTGCTCTCCTGGTGGAAGCAGAGCAAGCTAGTGCAAGTGGCAGGGGGGAAGGAGGGGG